CAAGTCGCCGGATGCAGTACGATCGTCCTTTCTACTCCTCCGCGACAGGACGGTTCCATCTCTCCTGAAGTCTTGTACGTCGCGCAGTTGGTTGGTGTCAGCTGTATCTTGAAAGCTGGAGGTGCGCAAGCGGTCGCTGCGATGGCGTACGGCACCGAAGAATGTCCCAAGGTTGACAAAATCTTTGGACCTGGTAACCAATGGGTTACTGCTGCCAAGATGTTGGTGCAAAACGATACCAACGCGTTGGTCGGTATCGATATGCCTGCTGGGCCTTCCGAGGTCATGGTGAGTTGCTAGTTCTTGCCTTAATTGGCTTGGTGCGCTAACCACCGTTTTAAACAGGTCATCGCGGACAAGACTTGCAACCCAGTCTTTGTCGCTTCAGACTTGCTTTCCCAGGCGGAGCACGGTATCGACTCCCAGGTCGTCCTCGTTGCAATCGACCTGGAAGAGTCTCAGCTCGAAGAAATCGAGGTGGAAGTCGACCGACAAGCTCGAGCGCTGCCCCGAGTCGATATCATCAAGCAGGCTATCAAGAAGAGTCTGATAGTCAAGACGAGCACATTGGATGAAGCTATGAACTTTTCCAATGAATATGCGCCAGAGCACTTGATTTTGCACTTGGAGGACGCTCCGGGAGCAGTCAAGTTTGTCAACAATGCTGGTAGTGTCTTTGTCGGAGCGTTCTCGCCGGAAAGGTAGGTGCCAGTACATTGATCAAGGTTATTACATTACTGACTTGTCATGTTACACTCGCTCTAGTTGCGGTGACTACGCATCTGGTACCAACCACACCCTGCCAACGTACGGATACGCACGACAGTTCAGCGGTGTCAACACCCTCTCCTTCCAGAAGCACATTACTTCTCAGGAACTTACAAAGGAGGGACTGCGTGTACTTGGGCCGATTGTTGTTACGTTGGCTGAACGTGAGGGTTTAGAGGCGCATGCGAATGCAGTCAGAGTCAGGCTGGCCGAGTTGAAGCAGTAATACGCACACGGCGCGGGTCTTTCTCCAGTTGAATCCTTGTACAAAATGCAGCGGCGTCGGTCGATGTATATAGCGATGTCACTTTGACAAAATCATCGGATCAACGCATACTGCTTCATGTCTGTAATCTGACTTGCTCAAGGAGCGAGCTTCTGAATGGCTACTCGCCTACTCGTTGGCTGTTTGACAGTTAACTGCGGAAGCCGCTTGTTCGGCGTCTACGATGAGTAGTCACCCGCTTCTTTAAACGGATGACTGACTGCCCCGATTGAATGCGTGAGACATCCTTCCTTCCATTCTTCCTCCTCTTCCCACTTTGGTGTCGCTTTCAAGTCTTTCATTACATGTTCATGCTAAGACGTAAACCCACCCTGCAATCATCTCACGGCTATCGACGCCATTCGAGCCAATGGATTCTTCGTCCGAGCCTGTTACCTGGGCTGATCTGCCTGACGAAACTGTCGAACACATTTACGAGACACTTTCTCCTGGAGACTGCATTCGCTTAGGCCGTGTGAGTTGCATATCGTCTTGTCGTCCGGATCGTACAACTCATCCAAAAAGTCAACGTTCGCTCACTAGGTGGATCGAAGATGTCAAGCAATCTTCAAGTCCAGCAAAGTCCGCTATCGATGGATGCTCAAAGCTCACAATCTGGTCGATGTGAATCCCGACCAGCCTCCGATTGAAAAACTGCAGGAACTGGAAGCTCGACAAAAGGCTTGGTCCACTCTAACTCCTAGGAGAACAGACTATGACTTTATTGTAGAAGGGCATACCTCCATATACGAGCTGCAGGAAGGGATATTTTTGCACACCGAGGGTAACATCGATTGGTTTTCGCAGATGCAGGGTGTCAAGGTAAGCTCTTCTTCTGCACTGATCGTCTCTGGGTTAGCTCACTTCGGCCATTATGCCTTAGCCGCACCTTCTCAGGCTGGTTCCACTACCGTGGAATGACGATAGCCTAATGAAAAACGTGCCTCGAAATACTCGGGATGTCGGATTCGACGTGGCTGATTTGACCTTCGATCCTACTCAAAATTTGATTGTGATATCGGAAAAGTTGTGAGTTTTCGTACGGGACCATATCAACTGCGCAAGACTGTTTCGTTGACAACGTGTTGTGAAACAGAAAATACGACGCCAACGAAAGACACAAGCAGCCGCTCCTCCGATATCATTTGTTGACTATATCGTCTCTCGAGCCCCACCCTCTTGCAACCCGCATACCACTACTCAGCATCGACGACTCACCCAGCATCCGTAACGTGTACCAGTTGCTGCAAATCTCGGGTGAGATTTTGGCCGTTTCGGCAACTCCAGCACCGCCAATGGCGCATGAGGAGCTTCCCCCGCTTGGTCCGGATCCGCTATCCCGTACGCACATGGTGAGGATCTGGAACTGGAAAACGGGTGATTTACTGTCGGTACGTCATTCGGGGGTTTGAAGATATGTGATATCGCTGACAGGCGCATAACGGCTTTCACGTAGGAACTCTCAATGTCCGACAGCTCGTTACCTCCAGCTCTAATTTTGCTCGACGACCGACGCTTTCTACTGGTAGTGGAAGAAGGTCACTGTGTCCATTTGGACATTTACGGATTCGGCAAAACATCAAGCGATACTACACTTTCCCAGGCAGAGCTACTCGTTCGATTCTCCATGCAGGGCTACCGAGTAAACTCGCGTAGCACCCTCAACCTACAATCGATTCTAGCGAGACCGGACCCGCCTTTCCCTAGTACAACTGTCCAGACTCCACTCGGCAAGCTCAAGCCATTCACAGAGGACCCAGATATGGGCCTACTAGTATTATCGCTGCAATTTACGTATGTCGCGAACGGTTTCCGGTTGTCGGAAGAGACAGTGGTGTTCTTCTTGAAAGAAGAGCTACTCAAGCTCGCGAATGAATACGAAGCTGTCTTTAAAGAGCGAGCGCAGGAAGGTGATCTGCGGAAGGAGGAGCGGGTTGTTGATTGGGACCAGTGGCGGCATCTCACTCGAGTCATCGAAGAACCTGAAGCTGCGCCTCGCTGGGTAAGTCAATCTTTCGCTATACGCCAGACACCATGGCTGAAGTCTCCATCTCTCAATAGGTATGCTTCGTACACGGTTATCGCTATGTCACACGTGTGGAGATTCCATCGACGGATGACGACGACGACGATGAGGACGATATCGATATACCACGTCCTTCACACCTGCAAATCTTTGACTTTTCACCGGTCTCGATCCGTAAATTCGAACTGGAATACGGTCACCTGCTCGGACCCAGCAGGGAGGATAATTTCGTGATTCTCGGGGATTACACCATCCACTACTATTCGCGTAATCATTCTTCGCGCGTGTACTTGGAAGAATCTCGTCATGTCCATTTCGAGACCAACTTGCCTTACTTGGTGATCACTAGAACTGTCGAGTCGTACGACATCTCAGGCTTGATGATCGACGAAGCGAGGATTATCATGAGTCATGTAAGTTGAAATTGGCGAAACGACCATTGCGAAAGATACCTGACTATCACGCTTCTGTTTGACGTTGCAGAGCAACGGTGATCCGTCGGAGCGTCAAAGCACTTTTTCCGTGTTGACAATGTAATATCTAGGCACCTATGGACTTCAATAAACTTCACCCGATATATGGACAATCAATATTATACAGTCTTTGATCACTGTACTCCGCGACTCCGATAGATTCACTCTCACAATCTTTCCCGTCCACGTGTGGGCGTGTCTCTGGATGCCGCCTTACATATCGAAATTTCCGCTCTCCGGTCGGGAATGGCACCTGTAGATACGACAGCTCTCCCAAGCATTGTGTGATGTCGCGCGTTGGATGAAGGAGAGACTCAATATTGATCATCCCTCGGAGATGTGTGCGGGCGCGAACGTCGAGGTTGGGCTATTTCGACCTGTCATGAGACGCTGTCTTTGCCGTGCGATTGTATTAGCTTTGAAGCCAACAAATGGAAGACAGTGCCGGTGAACGATCTCAATGTTCGTCGATCCGCACTTTCTGCCTCGCCTTTAGGTGACAGTCGCATCCAGAGGTCAAGTGGAAGAACGTACGTGCGGCACCGCGGCCGTCGACGACACAATGCTTAACTTGGAGAGTTTCTTTTGCTTCATGATGATACGAGCGAGTCGCGGTGCTCGGTCTCCACGAGCTCTGGAGCCGAGCAGAGCATCCACTTCGCGCCTGAGTTGGGGTGCAGACACAAAATGCGACACAGCTGACGGAAAGCAGTGACAACCAGTGCCCAGCGCTTATATACGAAGCTCAGAGGGGGGACTTTCGATCCGGCACTGCTAGTCGACTGCGCAGTGGGGATGATATGACTCTCAGTTTAGGCCAAACTTCTGATTACTCCCCACTGCAACCTGCTTGGGTCCTCCATGCGATTGTTGTCGTGTCTGGCATCAAGGGGTGGTAGAGGATCCTTGAGGATAAAGCAGGATGAATAGGAGGGGGATCCCATGGGGGACCACATCAAGGAATATCCTTGGAGGCTATGAATAAGGAAGCTGAAGAATCGAGGCACGTTACATGCTGAGTGCAAGAGCTGTCTTAGTCGCGTGAAGGTTCGCCAACTTTCGTCCGGCGCTATGTCGCCTTCAGCTCTCCTATATATATCTCACAACATCAACATGATTGACAGCCACCTACTAAAGTGTCTCGAGACATAATTGTGCCACCTGCTCTACCCAAACTGATATTTGGATCCGCTATGGTGGGTTTCGTCGTTTCGAAAAGACAATGTGCGCGATCACTCGACGTTGATTTGGGGAACAGACCACGATGATCATTATTCTGTACACCTACTTGTTACGGTGGCGGTTGTGAAGGCAACGGTGCCACTCGGAAGTCATAGTTGTCGATGTGAGTTGAGATTTTGCGCAAAATGGATGTTAAAGGGGGTCGAAGACTATGTTGTGTAAAATCTCCAATTGCTCCGTAGAGTCGAACCTCAAACCCGTTCTATAAAACGGCAAAAAGAAACGTTGTCCGCTGGGTGGATTGAACACCCGACCTGCGGTAGCCAGCTATATCCCTTCTAGGGTTAGAACTTCAGACCGTCGCTCTCCCACTGAGCTAAGCAGACTTCGATGTAATGTGTCATTTTGGAATAAACAAGACATTACAATCATCCGGGAATGCAAACAGCAGCTCGACGTACCGCGTCACATGTTCTATTCCTGGAACGATGTTCCTGTTTCATTGCGAGACCGGTTCTCCTGAAGATCCGAATTGCGGGATGGGCAGACAGCTGGGTAGACTCTCGTAGCTACTCTCGTAGACAATTTTTCTCCAAGTTTGCCGAACTGTTGTTGAAAGGACAGCGGATCGAAACGCACGTCTCCATTGCATCTGGCAACGTCCGCGGAATAACACTGCTGCCGTGAAAGGACGTCCGACACGAGCTGAAGCGACTCTGAGAACGAGCCAGAACACGTCCGCTATTCAACCATACCGTACATCCACTTCTACGACTAGAGCAGCGGAGACCCAGCCAGGAGCGAAGCACTTCAAGTAAGTCCAACTCGCTTCCATTCGCTTTATGCGTCACATAACGACGCTGGCTTACGTAGCCTCTTGCACCGACCCAGCGTCATAATGTCTTCATTCACTCAAGCGATACGTGTCATTGACGATTTCATCGACGAGTACTACCCGGAACCACCACTAAGCATGATGAGCACAACACACCCTATTCAGAAGACGCTCTCGCATACCAACCCACCGACTGAACGAACCAGAGTCCCATTACTCTCATCGCTCGGTCAGAAATCATGCCGCACCGTACGCGCTCAAATGCAGATGCCATTATTCGACAACTCTGCCATGGACGGGTATGCGCTTTGCTCTTCGCAAACCATATCAGCAAGTCCCGCCAATCCTCTGACATTTCGAGTGCTCGGAATTATTGCAGCGGGAGACCCACCACCGACGGTTTCTGTTACAGAGGGAGGAAGCGAATTTATCTGCTGGGCTATCATGACAGGCGCTCCTTTTCCCATTGCTGTCGACCCGAAAGGCGAAGCACCGGCATCGTCCAGCGCTGCGGGCCTATACGACGCATGCGTCAAACTCGAACTCGTGACCGCACATTATCAGCCGCGTGACTCGAATGCAGCAACTACGAGCCGTTCCCCCGAGGTCCCGGCGCACATCACAGTCATTGCTCCAGTGGATAGCAATGCCAATCGTCGACTTGCCGGGGAAGACATCAAGGTGGGGGCTGAGTTGTTGAACGCTGGCGAAGTCGTTCGGAAGGAGCATGTCATGGTGCTCGCTAGTATGGGAGTGCAAGGCGTCGAAGTGGAATGGGATGGGGGAATATGGGCAAGGCAGCGACAGATACTCGGCGACGGTCAACGGAGACTGAGAATCGGGATAATCAACACGGGAAAAGAAGTGGTTCTGAATGCCAGACCCGACCAAGAGGCCATACCAGCAATCGCCTCAACGCCAACGTCTGACAGTTTAGCAACGACAAATGCAATCTCATCTACAAAGCAGCATCCTCTCTCTACATCACACACCGGAGCTCCACCAGACATTGGAGACACCATTGAACCGCTTACACCACCTGCCTCGTGCATGACCTCACGCTCCACCTCGGTCGCCGACACCACGACAACACGGCAGCCACGGCCGTACCTCGGGGCTTCCCAAATTTGGAATTCCAACGGGCCTTACATCCACGCGGCGCTGTTGACTTGGGGTTTCCATCCCTCCGATATCGAGGTTCTGAGCGTGTCCATCGCCAAAGGACAAGACGGAGATGATCCCGAGGCATTCCAAGCAACCGTAAGAGACGCGCTGTCGTACGACAAGGATACCGATAGACGGCCATTCGACGTTTTGATTTCGACGGGCGGGGTATCGACAGGCGTTCATGACTACGTGCCTGCCTCGATTTTGGCTTTAGGTGGAGATATCGGGTTTCACAAGCTAAAGATGCGACCGGGTGGACCGATGATGTTTGCCCACTTGGCGCACGATACGTCGCAGCGTGACGCAGAGGCAGGAGGCAGTGCAACGAATGCAAAACAAACTCGCGCAGCGTACTTTGGGCTCCCTGGTAATCCGTTGGCGGCAGCGGTCTGTTTACGGTTCATCGTCGCTCCCGCGTTGCAGAAAATGCGTAGCGTTGTCGGCGAACCCCAGACTCGACGTGCGAACATCCGTATCTCAGGCGGAGGCCTAGAGGAGGACCAGAGGCACGAGGATCGAGCTCTTATCCAGAAGAAACCCCCACACACGCGCATGTACGTGCCCGCCCGGTTGTTGCTTTCTTCGGCCACCGGCATTGCAGGAGAGCGAGAGACGTCCGGCGTGGAAGCGCTCGCACGGGGATCCAACATGACGAGGGCGTTGCTGAGCGCTGATTCTTGGGTCTGCTTCGTCGAGGGCGAAGGTCGGGACAAGGTTTATAAAGGTGATGAAGTAGAAGTGTATAGTTTGGATCTGTAGATTGGCACTTTCCGACTGTATTTACAGAGTTGCGTTAGTGTGTTCGCTGAAGCAAGGGAGTGGAGTCACTCACTCATTCTACATGCCTTTGATATATCCACGTCAAGTACATCCACCTGGACCTAAACGCCCGAACTTTCCTCCCACTTGCAAGTACTCGGTATCCAAATCTCCATCCCTCCACCTCCTGCAGCTACTTGTTCATCGACCCACGCCAACCCATCACGCATGACCATCTTCTCAAACGCCGCACGCGTTCGAAGGTCTGTCCATCCAGTCGTTGCGATGACTGACGGCTCATCCAGGTGACCATGAGCAGGAGAAGCAAGGCCAAGGAGGATGATGGTGTCCGTATCGAGTTCCGAGGGAACGCTGCGGACGTAGAGTTCTTTCGAGGGGTTGATGGTGTGTAATTCGTAGCCAGAGTTGAGTGGTTTCAGCAACTTTACGGAACGGATCACATCCTCTGGCGTGATGAGGACGGATGAAGGCTCTCCTTGTTCCGGGGAAACGGTACGCAGACGTTGTACCCTTCGAATAAGCTCCGGCATGGATATCATGCCTCCATTCAGCTCCCTTGTACTGGCGCATACATCCACAATCTGCACTGCCAACTCGTGTTGCCAATCCGACATTCCTAGTACATCACCCACAAACCCTTTGGCAGCTGCGGCGGCGCCAAACCATTTGCCACCAGTGCCAGCGCCAGAGCTTGACGGACTTGCACCGATAGATAGAGGATCGATACCAATTGCCGCACACATCTTTTGGAATTCATGTCGTAACTTTGGGTCTGCACGGATATCAGATCTGTGTGCTGCTGCAAAAGTGAGTAGATGGTGTCGGAATGCGTCGAGCTGAGATCGAAGGGAGGAGAGTTGCTGACTCGTTATATTGCTGGAAAGACTTGTGTAGGAAGCGGCGGTAGAAGTGTGCCGCTCCAGACCCGAGATACCAACACCTCGTCGCATGTCGTCGGATGTGGCGAGGTGGTAGTGGCGACCTATAATGAGGCCAGACTGCCGTGAGGGTGTAGAGAGGTGTACCTATAGCATATCTATAGAGCTACCTATAGGGACATGACACTGATAGGGATAGCGAGCTGTCAGATTTGTTTACAATGTAAAACCCGACCCCAAAAGAAAATACACGCCAAATAGATGGCTGTTATAAGATTCAGAAAGGAGCATCCAGTCAAGACCTCTTCATCTTTCTGTACAACTGGCTCATTTCATTAATGTCACCTGCGCCTTGCTTCATTGGGCACAGCGCCATATCCTGCCCATCATGTCGCTCACCAGTATAGAGCAGACAATTTACAAAAAACTCAAAGCGCAGGCGAGCCAGGCAAGTCATTACTCACACAACCCACTATACTATCCGTTCATCAATCTTATCTACATACATCTGCTGAACAGATCCTTGGAGACCCAGAGTTGAGGAGCGCATTACAAGGTACTCCGAAAGAAGAGATTGCGAATGGTATCAACGGCCTTTCACGCAAGGTACGCTCTTCACCTGTTCTCTGAAAACTGCAACAATGCTTTCTTTCTGAGGTAGACTAATGCATATCCTTCGTAGGGTCTCATCCTTATCAAGAAATCTGGAACGCGTTTGCTATATCAAGCAGTATCCAAAGAAGAAGCAAAACGTACCGGTACATTCGAGCATGATGAAGGGCTTGTCTATGGTTATATCAAAGATGCCGGGAATATGGGTACGTGGGAATGAAATTGGTTCCTTACGCTACTATGCAGCTGAAATGGAAGGCAATGCTTGCTTTGGGTTCCGATAGGTGCTTGGGCTCGTACGCTAAAGACCGCCACCAACTTGCCTCAGACATCGTTTCTCAAAGCTATCAAAGGACTCGAGCAGAAGATGGCAATCAAGTTGGTAAAAAGTGTCAAGGTGTGTGTGTGTGTGTGTGTGACGCTGCCTGGCCTCGTGATGATGCTGCAAATAAATTGAAACCTTGTCTCCTTTGGACTAGTTTCCGACACGGAGAATCTACATGCTTTCCAACTTGACGCCTTCGGTAGAGTTGACTGGTGGACCTTGGTATTCTGATGGCGGGTTAGATCAGTCGTTCATCGATGGCCTGCTGGGTGCCTGTTTGATGCATGTTAAAAAACAGGTCAGTTCCCGGTATTGGAACGTATGGCAGAACCTCTAGCTGATCTCATGTACTTTGCTTTTGGTTTCTAGACTTTTCCGAGGAAACAACCGAAACACGAGTTGATTTCGGATGTAGCGTATGTCTCAAATCCTGTACACGGACCATCACACACGAAACGTCTGCCTTCACCCAACGACATACTCGATTTTATCACCGCCTCCAAGGTTGCAACTACAACGCTCGCAGTGGAGCACGTCATACAGCTTATGAATGTTCTTGTGTACAACGGGGAAGTCGAGATTTTGAAACCATTGTCTGGAACACGGCATGATGAGGGCTGGAATAGTGATTTGGAAGGCGATGGAGGTGGGATGGGCTTGAAGGAGTGGAAAGATGAGGTTGATACACGGAAGAATAAGCAGAAAAGGGAAAAGGACAAGGACAAGTCGAAGAGCGGGCCAAGAAAGCGGGCCAGGAGCGGGAGCGAAAGTGATGATACGGATAAGAAG